GATTTCGCGGAAGAACGGAAGGTAATAGTCACCGCAGAGGCGCCTCGGGAACACCTGGTCGCTACCCTATCAAGTGGGGGCGCCTATTCCGGATGGATGGCGCCAATTGTAATGTTCCTAACCCAAGGCGTGGTGCTTGACGACCCGAAGAAAGCCTGGCGCCTCCGTCGAAAGGCGGCCCGATGTTCCATAATCGCGGGAAAATTGTACAAAAGATCTCATGCGGGAGTTTATTTGAGGTGCCTTGACGAGGAGGAAAGCAGGGGGGCAATCGAGGAAGTGCATAGTGGAACGTGTGGCATGCACGCAGGGGCACGAAGCCTGGAGAAAACACTGCTACAACAGGGGTTTTATTGGCCGACAAATGATATTCATATCCCGGCGGCACCCATGCAAGGAAATGTAGGAGCCTGGCCATTCGCTCAGTGGGGCATGGATCTCTTGGGTCCTTTTCCCAAGGCGCTCGGACAAATGAAATACCTGATAGTGGCGGTCGACTACTTCTCCAAATGGATAGAGGCAGAGCCCTTAGCCACGGTCACAGAAGCCCAGGTACGAAAGTTCACCAGGAAGAACATATTCACTCGGTTTGGCTTGCCTGAGTCCATCGTCACAGACCATGGAAAGCAGTTCGATTGCAAGAAGTTTGTGGAGTTCTGTGATGACAATGGGGTCGTGTTGAGATTTTATTCGGTGGCCTACCCTCAAGCAAACGGTCAAGCGGAGGCAGCCAACAAAAGTATCCTTCAAGGGTTACACACCCGGTTGGCCGGCACCAAGGGAAAATGGGTGGAGGAACTTCCCAATGTGTTGTGGGCGCATCGCACAACTTACAAAACCGCCACTAGGGAAACACCCTTTTCCTTAACTTACATAAGCGAGGCATTCATTCCTGTGGAGCTAAGCATCTCAAGTTACTGCGTCGTCCAGTACGATCCAAACGGCAATGACGAGGCACGAACCAACGAACTAGACATGCAGACGAAGTAAGGGAAGTGGCAGCAATTCGCTTAGAAATGATGAAGCGGCAGGTGGCCCGTTACTACAACAAGAAGATGCGTGCCCACGGGATCATAGAGGGCGCCCTGGTTCTCAAGCGTGATTTTCGTCCGGATGCCCGCGAGGGAAAGTTGGCACCAAAGTGGAAAGGCCCATACCGAGTTCGAGAGGTGGTAGGACCCAGCACGTTCAAATTAGAGCATACTGACGGCAGAGTGGTGAAAAGAACATGGAACGCGCAAAACCTGCGAGTTTACTGTGCAGGCACCGCACCAGGGGAAGACGCCTCCACTTGATAGAAGTTAGAAAGGGTGACGAGCGGTCGTAGTTGTAGGTGTTTGTCTATGTCGAAAACAAGCGTGTAAGGGTGTTTGTGTTGTGACTAAAAGCGCTCGTCGAAATAGCGCTGTATCGTGTCCAAAGCGCCCAGTGATCTAGCGCTCCAATAGTGACTTCGTGTTTGCTTACGTCATTTCGTATTAAGAGAAAGCGCCCAGTAATCTCGTGCTAGCAAAAACGCCCGAATTTAAGTATAAGGGGTTAAGGGAAGTCGGTAAAGCGCCCAATTTCGCGCCCAGTAATCTTGTGCTAGTCAAGACGTCCAACTTGGAGATTGATGGCGAGTTTAAGTGTAAAGAGTTAAGAGAAATCAGTAAAGCGCCCCGTTTTGCGCCCTTCAAAAAGCAAAGCGCCCCAATATTGCGCCCTAAGTCAGAACAATAACGCACCCAACTTTGCGGCCAATAACCACAAAGCGCCCTCATTTTTTGCGCCCCTATAAGAACGATCTAAGTTAAGTAAACAATTCAAAGGCCCCAAGACATGATGCAATCATCAAAGGAAACGTCTTTATATATATAGAAAATAAAAACAAAAACAATACAACAGAATTTCACTTAAGCGGTGCCCATTCTTCACTCTGCCCCAGAGTTGGCATCTCCATCACTAGGCGCTTTCAGAGAAGGCGACGCAGGAACGGACCCACTAGGAGGCGCATCGGCAGCAAAAGGCTCGGGCGCCCCTCCCGTTCCACGGGGAGTCTCCAGCCCCCGATCACATACTCGGCCATCTCAGTAAGGTCCCAAGTATGGTCGGGGTGATCCTTCTCCAGCTTATACTTCAAAATGTCGAGGTCGGTAAAGATGGCGTTGGCGCACATCCCCTTTCCAGCCTCGGACTCCTCGAAGGTATCCAAAGAGCGGCGCAGGTCGGAAATTTCTTTTTGCGCCTCTTTCAAGGACTTCTTAGTCTCCTTGTAGGCGTTCTGCCACCTCTTCTTCTCCTCTTTGAGGATATCTATCTCGCTGGTTTGGGCGCCTGCCTCCTGCGCTAGCGCCTCCTTCTCCGCTTGAAGATCCGCCAACTTCTTGCGCTCATCGTCAAGAGCGCCCTGAAGTCGCGACACCTCCATGGCCGCGTTCATCTGTGCCTCCTCGCACTCTTTCGCCAGTTGCTCGCGACGCGCGGTCGCGTTTTCTAAGTCGTGCTTCATGAAGGCAGCAGAGGTAGAGGCTTCGAGCGCCTCTCGGGTCGATTCATTGAGGCGCCGGGCACCTCTCTCAGCAAAAAGGAGGATCTGCATATACCAAGCAAGAAAGATTAACACTTTGTACAAGTAACAAGACAATTCCACAACCACGAGAAAAACAGGTACAGGGGTATATACCTTGACGCCCACTTGGGCCAATTCAGCGAAGAGGTGGTCCCCATTCACCTCAGACGGAACTTGCCATGACTTGGCCGCCGAATGCGCCAATCCTATGGCGCAACCCCTGTCGACGGCCGCCAGCGACGAACATGGCAAGTTAATGCGCCCAACATCTGTGCGGCGCAGCTGGAAAATAGGGGGCGCCCATCGGGGCCGACATAGCGCCCCTCTTCGTTGAGGTGGTATTGGGCGCCCTCCCCGTCGCCGGCAGCAGCGGCGCCCTCTTTTCCCTTCCCCTTATCATCCCTTTTACTGGCAGGGGCTAATGGGGAGCCGACTCTCTTTCCCCGATGAATCAGGGCTCCTCCTCCTCCTACTCTTCCGCGGAGTTGACCTCCTGCTCCGCGGGCTCCGCGAGCTCTGAATCAGGCGCCCCATCACCTTCTTCCGGGGCGGAAGACGTCACGCTGGCGGTCTTCGTATGCATGGTACCCCCTTTCACCGCCCTCTTCTTCTTCTTCTTTGGGCCCGATGGAGGCGCCTGTGATTGAGTGGCAGCTGGTTCGGGCGCCTCTTGCCGAACCGGAGGGGGCGTCCCCGCCGCCATAGCAGCAAGCCGACTTTTCATCAGCTTGGCAATGCTGGAGTAGTCCGACCCTGCAAATTGTCAAAATCGTCAGCACAATCACAACGCAAGATACAAACAAAAAACCTAGGCGCCTACAAACCATCGTTGTAATACGCCTCCAAAATCGGCGGGCGCTTTTCTGCAATACGCAAATCCACGCGCTCCGTGCAAATCAGTCGAGCGCCATCCTTCTCTGCCCGAGATAGCACAACCGGGGAGTTGAAGTCCTCGACGTGTCCAAGTTCCCACTGCCTAGGAAGGCGCCTCCACTCTCGAAGAAGGAGTCCCGATAGGCCTTCATGAAGAAGAAGCCGTTAAACCAACTACGGTTCAACTTGGGACACCGAACCACGAAGTGATAGGGGCGCTTCTTCCGTTTTTGGAGGGATAAGCAGTTGTCAAGAGGCGCCATCTTAAAAAAGTATCTGAACAAGTTGAAGGTGGGCTCCACGTTATGCTGCCGGCACCTCAACTTGAACAGGATGACGACTGTAATGACCGAGGGAGACAGGCGCCCCAGCCAGGTCCCGTGTCGCGCGCCACGGTTCAACATCACGGGCGGGCTTTTCAGCTTCCCCCCACCTTTTCCCTTTTTTGAAAATTTCGAAATTCGAAATTTCCCACTTTCCAAGTACGGAAAACGTGGGGCCCACACCAAACCCCGCCCGCGAGGGGGGCATAAGGGGATAGGAGCATCCCCCCACAGATAGCTCCACGAAAAGGCACACACAAACCATCACCAAAATTGGGGAGCCTACTAGTGGAGAATAAAGGCGCCCACAAACCGCAAAGAGAAAACGCACATAGCGGAGGGTGCCGCCAAGGGAGGGCGCCTGTAAACAAAGAGGACACTAGGCCACGACATAAGAGTCAGTTAGGCGCTCGAAGGTGAAGCCACGAGCACCTAACTGGGGGGGGGGGGGGCAATTGTTTGGGGTACTACCCATCAGCCAATGTTCTAGGCCTCCAGGCAACAGATTTGGGGGGCAAGGCCCACGAATGGGTTGGTGAAGCATCTCTAGGCCCAAGTGAGATGAGGGGCGCATGAGGACAAAACACTTAGAGCCAAGGGAGGCCAGGTTGTCAGGTGGTCCACAGCCGACAGGCGCCTGCCAACGCGTCAGAAGCCTGACAAGGCGGTTGAGATATCTGACAAGGAGGGTACAAGGCATTAAATGGGGACAGTGACGTGGAGGAGATCAACCTCGAGCTCGGTGAGTATAAATAGGGGCAGTTGGTAGCATTTACACAGGTTGGACTCTCTCACTAGAATTCCTACTTTGAGACTTTTTCCTCTCTAAGGAACTACCTTGGGCGTCGGAGGATTAACGGGCACAGGCACCCTCCTCTTCGTGCGTGTGTGTAGGCAGGCGCCAGTCGAAGGGAAGTTCCAGGAGTATCGGCGGGTATTGTGGCTCAAACATAAATACTTTAGAATTCATTTACAAATTTTATCTCAATTCCTCGGAATTGCTATAACTAGTTCAAATTCTGTAGAATTCAAAATTTAGAATTGCAAATGAATTCTTTTAAATACCAAACACAAAAAGATTTCATTTCAAAATGAATTTCTCAAAACTTATGGAATTCATTTATACCAAACGGTATGTTAGTATAGTTTACATATAGAAATATATTATATATATATTATATGTTCCTTCTTTTTTATGGTTACTTAGACAGACTGTGATGAGGCGATGAGAGATTTTCCCAACTAGCTAGAGCTTAATAAAAATTTGTTGATTTGACCATAAAAAAATGTAAGCATTACAACAATCACACTAAAACAATCCTAAAAATCCAAATGACCAGTAGAGTTAGAACCCTAGAGTATGAAAGGTGTACTTGATTAAGAAATCCGGGTTTTCAGCCATTGGAAACACCATTTGATGCCAACAGATCTGATTATATGGGTATTCCAACACAAAATCTTACATCACATCACTTAGAATAACAGAGCACTCTTATTATTTCCATCAGAGATTCAGAGTAATTGCTGATCATTTTATGTATCAAAGCCAGAGTAGACGCCACTTTCTCTCAACAACCTCTTCTCTTCCTCGACATAATTCTTTCCCCTGCTAGCCTGGCCAAGTTCTCGTTTCCTCTTCTCCTTCTGCGAGAATGAAAGCTGATTCTTCTCCTCCTTCTCTTTCCGGGTCTGTGAATGCACCAGCTGCTCCCCAGCCACTAGAGCTGCCCTTGTTTTCTGCCGCTCATCATACGACTCTCCATTCTCGACCTTGGTGGCAGCAAGGCGTTCTTTACCTGTAGACCAGGTCCAGTTGGGCTCTGTGTCGTCTTTAGGGGGTGGCATTCTCAGAAGTGAGGGGCCACCTTTGTATCCATGTCGCCTCAGTTCTTCAAACTCCACAGCTCCACGCCTCCGCCTTGCAGACTTGCCTAGAAACAACAACATCAAACGAAGATGAGCCATGACAATAAGGCAACTTTCCAAGGGTATCATACCTAAAGTTGTTTCAGCCTAAACAAACACCAGCTAGATGATAACACGAGAAATACCGATCAAGGGACTAGTCCACAAAATCCAACATCCAAACATCAAATTTGAAACCATAAGTATCACAATCGATCAAGTTTTAATTTCAGTATCTAACGACCTGTCGACCTCTTAAAGTGCAATCTGGTTTGCAATTAAAAGCAAATTTCCTCGTCTTTTCTCAAGCAACTATGGGTCGGGGAAGACAATAAACAAATGAGTTGCAAACCAGCAGAATCGTGTATTAAGCTCTTCCAGCAAAGCTGTCACTTGCACTGAATCTGGGTTTCAAATTGACAACTAGAGGGCTAAGTCAAAACCACGAAGCTTCTTCCCATACCGAATCCAGGATTGCTTCCGTGAAGTTGAAGTAACAGTTGTACCAAAAGGTAAAAAAGTTCAAAGTTTCAAGAAAGTGAGTACCTTTCGAGTTCTTGTGCTTAGAAGCATTCTTGGTTTTCGTCTTGGTGGTGCCTACATCACCTTCAGCATCCGATGCCGAAGACGACGTAGACGATCCATCATCTGAATCCGAAGAATCCTTGTCGCCGTCGTCGTCGCTCCACGGAATTGCCCTTTTCATGATTCGCCGGTAACACACTGTTCACAAAACAAACAAATCACGCCAATCAATCGAAAACGCCCATCATCAACAAAATTGTTAAATTCTATGGGGAGAAGACGAAGTACCTCTAGTGCCAAGATAACGGCAGAGAGCTGGCCTCAGTGAGCTCCGCCGATTGGACGAAGGGGATTTTGTTAGGGTTCGGAACCCGGCAAGGAAAATTTCGTGGGGATCTGTCTTGTGTTGTGCGGACCGGACTCAGGAGTCAAGACTGGGGAAGCTACCTTGAAATTACAGTAAAACCCCTGCGATTTGAACTGGTGAAGTGGATAGGCGGTGTCGTTTTAATAGCGCATTCCCTGACCGAGAAAAATTGGAAATTGGGGATTTTTACGATTTGAGCGGAAAGGGTTTAAGCGCGCCACTCCGCTTTGGTGGTGGCTTCTCTGTCTCGCCGGAATCCGCCGTTTCGCCGTCACAAAGGTGCCGTAGCTTGCTACTGCTCTGCTTTCAGTCTTGTTGGTTTAAGGTTTTAATATCAGCTTCTAAGGTTTCGTCCTGATGACATGACTGTAAATGGCAAGAGTGAGAATCAAAGCTTTGATCTTTTATGCTAAGAGATTTCCGTTTGTTCTCTTTCCGTTCCACAGTTGCTACTGCTCCCTTACTATCGAATACAGTGATAAAACCGTTGCCCAGAGTGTTTCCTGAGGTGGGTACTTTTTTTAGTTGCCAGAACGTTCGAATTAATGGACGTTGAAGAAGGTGTAGGAGATGGCTCCCTTGTTCTGCTCAAGCAAGGAGCTGAGGCTGTAAGTTCATTTACTTGCATTCTATTTGTACCGCCTGGTTTCATATCAACAGGATTTCCTCTGCCCCTGATCTTCCTAAGAACTTGGATTAGAAACCTCTCACATGTTGCCTTCTCCTTAAGTGGAAGTAAATCGTTGTAGTAAGTAAAGTCTGCAAATTTTGATGTATTGCGTTTGATGCCATATTATGCAGAAGGTCTTTGAGTTGAATTTTGTGGGGAGGAGGTCGGTTGTTAAGGAACGGTTCTCGAAGAAGTACAGGCACCCAATGCTAGATGCTAAGCTAACTCTCAAGCGATTGAATGCTGTGAGTTAGAATACATCCTTCTTGTATATATTTGAGATTGATAATAAGAAAAAAGGGGTCTTTTTGCCGGCCTTCCACAAGTGACAATTGATGAACTGGAAAATTTTCTGGAGCAGGAAGCTAGATGCATGACGAAAGCAAGACGACTCGGAGTTTGCACTCCTGCTCTCTATGCTGTGGATCCTGTATTGCACAGCTTAACATTCGAGTATGTGGACGGTCCTGCTGTGAAAGATGTCCTCCTTGAATTTGGATCTAATGGTATAGTGGAAGAACGATTGGACGACATTGCTGTGCAGATTGGTGATGCAATTGCAAAACTACATGATGGCGGGCTTATCCACGGAGATTTGACTACCTCAAACATGCTAATCAGGAATGTTGTCAACCAATTGGTGAGTTATGGGACTGCCTCCCCCTATTTTTTGTGCTTTCACCTCGCTGGTTAGCTTAGGTTCCTACGAGAAAAAATTACAACACAAAGATTGGGAAAATTGCAGGTTCTCATTGATTTTGGCCTAAGCTTTACATCAACTCTTCCAGAGGACAAAGCTGTTGATTTGTATGTGTTAGAGCGAGCGTTGCTGTCAATGCATTCTTCATGCGGGAATGTGGTAAGCCATAACCTTTGAATATTAAAGTTGAAAGTATAAATATCGTTATAGTCCAGAAACCAGTAACAATGACGGGAGGTGAAAATTAAAGTAAAAAGTTACTGTGCTATTAATCACCCCCATTCTGGGATTAGAATGTCTCCATCACCCCACTTTGGAATTATCATGGCAATCAGTAAGCATAAGAGTTTGGATACTGACATAAATGAAACCCCCTCTGAAAGGAGCTTTTGCCAAGCTGACCATTAATGTACACCAGATGGATCGCATACTTGCTGCATATAGGAAGTCTTCAAAGCAGTGGTCAGCAACCTTCAACAAGCTAGCTCAAGGTGCGATCCTGCTCTATTGCATTCTTGGTTTTGCACTTTTTCGTCTCTTACCAGTTATTTTTGTTTTCCCTTTCTGATTGTCTTTGCCTGCCTGTTTCAGTTCGGCAACGGGGTCGTAAACGCACCATGGTTGGATAAAGTCGAGAAGTCTTCATTGTCTAATTCATTCTGTACAACCGGAGAAGCAGAGTTCTCTGTGCAACTCGATTATAGGTACAGTGATGGATTTTAGACTTGATTATTTTCTCTCACTGTCCACAGTTGTATTATCATACTTACCAATGTACTGCAAGTGCATATTCGAATCAGACTGCGTTTGTACCCGTCTTGATTTGTTACTGGTGGCCTGCGCCACGGGCAGGTGCATTTGGTGCAACCTAATTTGCCACAGGCTTATCAATATAGAAGATTAATTATGGTATGACAATTAACCTATTTTACCATAACAGTCAACTATTTTAGAAGTTCATTTTATTTCTCAAAGTGGTGCATAAAAGAAAAGTGTATGCAATGAAACACAGGCAACAGGTGGTGATTTTCAGTATGGTCAGCGGTCCACTTTTCACAGCAGAAAGCAGGCACAGGGTAGTGGGTACATGAGAATATTTACACAAAACAGCGAGGAAAGCTTATTATAAGCTTTTTTTTTTTTCCTTTTCTTTTCTTCTTTGCCTCCTTTCCACCATGGCTGTGGAGTTATTATTCTTCTCATAATTTACACATTACACATTTCCCACTCAGCATCTCGCCCTAACAAACCTCTTCTCGTCACCTCTTTGCGACCGGTTCCTTCCGAGTCTCCCACTACACAGCGCTGTGGCCTCTCCTGCGCTGCTGCATCACCGGACCAGGGAAGAAGAACTCCTCATTCTGATTCCTGAAAATCTGCTCCACTTCCTTAGCCGGGACCCCGAACCCAAGCTCCAGCGCCTGGCTCTCCATCTTGCTCATCACGTTGTTCTTCCCGGCCAGCTGGAACTTGAAGTTGTCCCGTGCGTTCACCTCGAAGCACACCACCTGCAGGTTGTTGTTTGTCGATGCCACCGTCGCCACAGGGTGCCCCGCTGGGACTACGAACACCGTGCCTCGTTTCAGCCGCGACTTCACTTGCCCGTAAGTCGTCCCTTGGCGCGAGCCCCTGCTGCTGCCAGTACTCTGGCCCCTTCTTCCCTGCTTCCTAGTGCTGGAGACGTGAGGGCAAGCCATCTCGAAGTAGCCTTCACCATCCACAACGTAAGCTATCTTCGTCGCCTTCGAGTTGTAGAATGGTCCGGACATTCCTCCCTACACGGAAAATCGGAGCTGTTAATTAGTAATTCAGATTAAAAGCCAAAGTATAAATCTCAATAGGATGTTTAGATGAAAGAGGTGTAGTAGTACTCGTGTGATGTTGGCAAAGGAGATCATGAGGTCGAGATCATCAAGCTGCTCGAATTCGTTGGGGTCTGCTTCAAACAGCTGCCCGTAGTTGTTCTTGTGAGTAGGGCGCCTATGGAGGAGATTGAAGGGACAGCTCGATTCGCCACCGAATGGCCAAATGCCTCCACCTTCCTCCCCATGGGTCAAGGCCCTGATTTGCTCCCTGGAAGCTTTAATGATCGTCCCCTCCTTTTGTTGGAAGATCCTCTGCAGACTCTCCCTATCAACCTGGCAACAGGGTAAATCAAAACCCACCCACCAAATCAGATAAAAAACAGCAAGACCACCTCAAAACAAATTTTTTCCTTATCATTTCCATGGTAGAAACGAACCTTAAAAGCAGCTTCTAGCAGCTCAGGACTAAATGCTCTGAAGAAGGATTCTGGGTTGTCGCCACCTGGGCCGTGGAACGCCTCGAATGCTCCAGGAGTGTTAACAGGTCGAATGAATTTGATGATCACTAGCTTCTGGCTCTCGTGCTTGTTGACAACGTATACAGGAGTTCCAGCATGAACCCTAATCACATCTCCGGTCTCAATGTTGAAGCTGTGCCTCTTGATCTCGCTCCTCGAAGAAGTTGTTGTTCGCCCTCTGTTCTCCCGTATCATTGCAAACGTCCCTCTCCCTGCAATTTAGAAGCGTTTACTTTCTGAAGAAGGGAAACGAAGAATTTTGTTCTAATGAATGATAAAAAAAAAAAGCAAGTACCTTGGACTACAAAGAGAACACCGTCGGCATCGAAGTGGGCAGGGGAAATGAAAGTCTGCGGGTCAGCTTCAAGAAACCCGATCCTGAAATTCTCAATTCCTTTCAGAAGCTCTGATCTCTCAGTGAACCTCTGGAGGACACCGACTCTTCCATGCTGGCTCTCAGCTTTCTTCAGGAAATGCTCGTCCCTGAAAACATAAGGATTCTCTTCCCTTTCCCCACCTTCTCCAAACACCTCTTGCTCTTCTCCTTCTTCTTCTACATCATAGTAATACTTCCTCTCCGGATCGTCGCGTCTTCCCCTGCCGCCGCCTTCTCTGAACTCCTTCTCGCACTGGCTGCGGCAAACCTCCCGCTCTTGCTCCCCGTAACGCTTATGCTGCTCGCACTGGTGCTTGCACTCCCTGACCCTCCTCTCAGGATCAGTCTCTGCAGATTCGCCGCGGCCGTGACCTCGGCCGCCCCATTCCTTCTTCTCCCGAGCGTAATCCTCGCACCGCTGGATGCAGACGTGCTGCTGCTTCTCGTCGAACTGCTTCTGGTCCCTGCACAGGTCCCGGCATTGCTTCAGCTCCACGTCTTCGGTCACTGAAGCCAACCCGGAGACCAGAACTAGGGCAGAGAGAAGCACAAGGACAATTACACTGATAGCTCTCATTTTTGTTTCCCTTCTTGTTTTCCTTCACTCTTAAGTGTTGTGTTGGGAAGGAACTGTAGGCGACAAGGGTTTATATAGGTGTGGTTAGAACTTAGAACCGGATAAGAGCGGGAACAGAGAGCACCGAGTGAGCCATAAAGAAAGAAAGAAGAAAAAAAAACAGGGGAGGCAGAGTGTTCGATTTTGCATGCATTTCGACGGGTGTCTCTTGGTACGTTGTAACGTGTCCAATATCATATGGAGAAGATCGCCGCAGATTAGAGGGAGTACGGAAGAATGCAATGCATGTTACCCGATTTGTCTTGTAGTGGGATCGTTTCCTATGGGGAGTTTTTATGTAGAAGTAGAAGGAGCAGATGGGTTTCACGTGGAACAGAGAAACAGGGGAGAGAAAGAAGGGACAAAAAAGGCGCATTTGGACAAGTTTACTCTAAGCAGCGCTCTCCCGCGTCTAAACTCTGGATGATCGAACCGGGCTGCCACCCTTCATCCGAGCTTATCCAGTCAGGTGAAGAGTTAATAATGCCCGATAGGAAGAGGAATCTGGCTTTGCTAGGCGATGCTCATCGCTTCATCCTCATCTTCTTGTATGTTGTTTATTGATTAGTGGGGATAGTGTTTGGACAAAATGCAGAGCCCAATGGCCAGGAGCTCAGTCATCGTTATGTGGCACGCAGTGCATGCACTAGTGCTTGGTTGACACAAAAATGTCTATCATATTCCGATCTAACTTGGGAGGACATTGCGCCGTTCGGCCGCAGTATCGATATAAACAGCATTGTATGCCAATTGGATCGCACTACATGTTGGATCGCAATGTGATCAACAGTCAAACCCAATGACATAAGTAGCGGTGGTTTAGTATGGTTTAGACCGCATCACATTCGCAATATATGACTTTCTCCAGATCTCTGGTCCACAAAATCAACAAAAATAAAATAAGGTACCAACTTAATCTTGCTGCAGCTGCAGAAGGATGTGAGAGATTTCTACCCAAAAAAAAAAAAAGGATGTGAGAGCACAACATTATCAATGTAAACATAGAGAGGTTTGTGGGGGCACTTCCACAGCCTTATAGTAAACTTTATGCAAAAAATGAGTACTTGAGGATGTGTTTTGAATCATAAATCTAAATAAGTGAACAAGGCACATAACATTTTTTGCTTTAGTTGTCATCTCTTTCCTCTTTACATAACAGGAACAAACGGCAAGAGAACATCCCAGCCAGCATCCCTCAGTTATTAAGGGCACAGGATAATCCGTTACAAAAGACCGTGTTCACTTCTATTCTTTGGCACGCCACACATTCTAGTAGGCGGAAAGCCAACATAACAAGATTAGGAGCATTCTAGCCAGCCCGTTTCTGATAAATCTTTCCCACATGCTGATCCTGGTTCGCTGCAGCTTTCGTCAGCTCATTCATTGGCTGAATTCTCTGATAAGGTTTCCTGGTCAATGTCTCTCCTCTCAAAGCAGCTACATATCGGTCATTTGTGTCCTCTTTCCTTTGCAGCTCCCCGAGGTACTCAGCTAGTCTCTCTTGGTTAACTCTGCCCATCATCTACCCAAATATTCAGCAGTAAACTTTGTTAGAATAAGTTGTATCAAGGAAACATCTGCTGTATCTATGTATGCAAATCTGATCTGCTCACTCCCTCTTTTGCAACACTCTGGAAGTTAAGTTCATCGGCAAGAGTTACGAACAAAGGGTTTAGAGTATCATGTTCTATGATGTTAGAATGATGAACACATTTCAAGAGATAAGATGAACGCAAAATGGGGTATACAACAGTAGGACAACAACATTTGATCATATATGATATAACACAGGGTTGACTGCAGTACTGTATGCCCAATCTCAGAAAGAAAACACAGCATGACTATTAAGGGTCTGAACTTTCAGGCTATTTTTATAGGGTATAATTGGCAGGTCCAAGATGAATACTGAGGGCCTAATTCCTAAGGTGGGGTTTGGTCATTAGTGCAGTGCACAACATCCAACTCATATGTACCTGTAGCCAAAATGCTGACAGGACTTGTTGTTCAAAAAGATGCAGACCAGACACCAGTCAAAGATCTTAGAAAATGTTTTAGCACGAAGGCTAGCCAACTAGAGATTTACCGGATTCGTGCGTGATAGCAAATCCATAACTTCACTGAATCAGGCTGGTGAGAGCTAATGTTTTGGAGAGCACCCCTCATTCTAAGTGGGAAGAAAAGAAGTTTGAGCACGCTCTGCTCTCCCTCGCTTGTGGTTCAATCAGAGTAACAGAGGAATCGGGATTTTGGGCATCCTTTACAGGAAAGCACTAGTAGATATATGGTTTTTGCTTGGGGAGTAGGACTAAACGCTAAAGCATCGCATGAACATTACTCTATTTCCTGAAAAGACCCAATAACAAACCATTCGTGGGTTCCATTTCCCCCAGGGCAAGTCTTGAGGAAAGGAGGAAGTAGAACAAACAGTTGGGCATGCAAGATTCAATTTGGGAATGTGAAGCAAAAGATAAACACGCTAGGGCAAGGTGGAGAGAGGCTTACGGTGGAGTCGGGGCGTTCTTTCTGTCGGAGACGGAGCTCCAGCTCTGGGTTTCGGGAGTTAGTGAGCTGCATAACGCAATAGCCGATGACGCCGGGAACGACCCCGCAGACAGTGGCGAATCCAAAGAAGAAGGGCCTGGAGTCCCTCGTCCTCCTCACCAGCCATCGCCATGTCTGACTCTTCTCCCACAGGAACGACATCTGCCAATCTGACACCTCTTTCCGACTCTGAATTTTGCTGAGCCTTCTTCTTCTTCTTCTTCTTCTTCTTCTTCTTCTTCTCTTGGTTCTTCTCCGCTGTTTGATCGGATATTCGCTAATCGCTAGATTTAAAACCCTACTCTCCTCGTCTTGCTTCCTTGAAATTGGGTTCCCAAATCAGGTGGTGGAAGGCCCAAAAACGCCTAGATAAAGGGGAGATAGAAAGTGCCTGAAACGCTAAGCGACGAATCGCGCAAAACGGAAACGGCCATCTGAAACGCGAAGGTGGAAATTCTTGCTGAAACGCCAAACGGAACCCCACCAAGGGAATCAAATTCCGAAGACCAGCCACTGCTGAGTGCTGACTGCTCCTTATTCAGTTATTCTTTAAAACTAGCTTTTTATCCGACCCGTTGGTCGGATGAATTTAGTTTTATTTATTATATTTTTATATTAATCTATTTTTTCATATTTTCAAATAATTTGGGATCGTCTAAATAATTTATTAGTGGGTTGAAACTAATATTTGTGCGAATTATTGATTGTAACATTAGTTAGTTTATAAGTATTTGTATTGATCATGCTATCGCTTACTGTTGTCTATATATTTTTTACATTTAAGAAAAAAATCACTTCCTATTGTTAGAATAAATTACTTAAAAAATATTTCTTCATAAAATTTGATATTATTCACTTATTTTTCTATTATATCCATGAAAATAAAATAATTAATCATTGAATTATTAATTATAAACTCCAAGGGATTTTCCCTATTAGTAATTTGGAGGGATAAAAATTTATCAAATAAAGGATTCAAATTTTATGGTCGACAACCATTAGGTACTAATTGAGAAAATACAAAATTATTAACTAATAATTCACTTTTAAATAATATATATCTCCAAAAGCAGTTGTGGTTGTTAATAGCTAACATTAATGTATACGGATAGTACAATTATATTATAATGGACATATCTGAAATATTCCAATTATTTATTCAAAATTTTAATTAAATAAGCACTCGATAGTTCAAACATACAATCATTTGTTGTGAAAATTAAGTTTATGAAAAAGATTCGTGATTTTAGGAAATCAATATGGATTTTTTATAATTGATTTTGGTGTTGCCTTTGATATCTAAAAGTCAACACTTATAGATTTGTCTACTATGTCATTTGAAAGATTCTAAAAATTTATAACAAATATGTACCACCAACAAATAAAAACTTTTTTGTCAAAAATTTGTGTGCCCATAAATTTGTTCTTAGCTTTGTGCTCGGCTTTCAGCTCGATAGTATAACATATGCTAAATTTACGACAGTCCTTGTGTCTGCCACCTATTTCATAGCATATTAGGTTTCGAGTATCCACAAATATTAGTACGCTTTCAACAATTATGTTTATAGTTACACGTATACTAACATTATGAAGTGAAAATTTACAACAATAAATAACTATAATAAAGAAAATTAATTAAAAAGAATACCATCCGTAAAGCTCAAGAATTATTAGTGAATTAGTTGGTAATCTATTATCCTCTTGCAAAAAAATGGACAATTACAATATGCTCATCGCTATTTTTGGAAGGTCAGATGATCAACAATAAAAGTCGGGGAATTTCAAAAAGATTCCCAAAGATGTTTCCCTCCCTCCAGTCAAATGATCGACTTTGCTTTTGCTAGTAGAGAATGGAGCTGTTGTACCTGCATAAAACAATGTCTCTTGAAATAGTGTTTATTTTCAACAACTTGCACAATTCCAAATTGATTCATAGGTCAACGCGATCACATATTTTATTGACTTATCTGTTGATCATTATAATTAGAAGCAACAAATAAAATGAAAAGCATAGTGATAAAGATGACTATTAATACCATAGACCGATAGACGCATCCCTCTTCGCTACTTTCTGTTGGCAACTATGAAAAAATAGAAACCTCTGGGCATTCGAGAGACTATTGGCGCCGGCAACCCAGTTAGCCTACCAAATCCGGCAAATGCGAGTGCAGATTGATCAATCTTCCAGGAGGATTGGGCAGGTTCTCGGGGAGGCTACAGAGCGGGTGGAAAGGGGAAATAGAATAGGGTTTGGGATTTTCACAAAAAAGCTACAATTTCCCCTTTATTAGTTGTTCTGGGCGTCGCCCACCAAAGTGAAAACGCGTCTCCGAGTGCCCAGGTGCCTAGATCAATCGCCCAGAGCTAGACTGGGCGATTTCCTCCTGCCCAGCTATTAATCGCGCCTAGGCGAGAGATTAATCGCGTCTTCTTGAACACTGAATAAAAGTGGACCAAACAAAGACATTACATCCAACTCATTTCAGTTCCATCTTAACACAGTAACGGAGGCATGTACTATTATTATACAAATGATCTTACGCTCTCAATTAGGAACTAAACGAAGGTTAAATGCTTGATTGGCAAACTAAATCGATGAACCTAGTGATCTTAAAGAAAAAATTAATGATCACATGATTTCTTGGACCAAACTACTGAAGGAAAAAAAGAAAAAAGAGACCGTACATTAGCATAAGAACTCAACAAATTACTTATAAGAACTAATGACATAAGAAAAATGTAAACTCAAACCGTTCTTCCGAAGGTCATGGATTAAATCATTAGTTGTCGATTACATAGCCTAAACTGCAAGTTATATCCAAAATAGAGGCAATTTAGAAACAAAAAAAGTCAGATAAGAAAGCCGTAAAACACAGAAAAATTGAGTGAACAAAGTGGGAAGTATTGCTTTCAATTAAGCTTGATTATGTTGACATAAAGCAGACACACATTGACGTTGGAAACCTAAACAAAAAGCTTAAAAAGTGGCAAGAGAATTCTTCCCTTGAGGTTCAAATATAGCCTACCTATATGAGTAGAGCCAAGTAATTACCATGATTCCATTTTACACATACCATCTCACAACCAACTGCTGCTAATGCTCTGGTCCGTTCCAAACCTCACCTGCTCATATCTCCAATACCATATCACGAAACCAAGAATTATACACAACTAAAAGATCCAATAAGGAGAGTAACTTAGCATGGAACTTTGTGATGGGGGCAAATTCTATGGTCAGTATTAAGCTGTGCAAATTATATCACCTCTGCAAAGCTCACTACTTCCAGTAGTTTCTCACAGAACCAGCTACCGTCCTAATCCCTTCCTTCCTTCCCAGGGTCAGAGTGTGAAAAATGGCGTCCATCTCCGCCACAACCACAGCTTCTTCCTTCATCCATGCATCTCTCCGTCGCAACCCCTCTCTAGGGGTTTCCTCCGCCCCAGTTCTCGGTGAGTACTCTTGACGCCCCCCTCCCCTGAAATTCACAATTACCTCTAGCTTTTATCAATTCAGCTTGGGGGAACCAAGAAATTGAATCGATTGGGTGATATGCAGGGCTGCCGTCGATGGCGAAGAGAGGGAGAGTGGTGAAGTGCTCGGCGGAAGGAAACGGAAGCAACGACAGCGGGTGGGAGAAGAAGGGGATGATGAGCGCTTCGCTGATGGCGGAGGTGGCCGCAGCAGCTGCGTCGAGCCCAGCGGCGATGGCTCCTCAACGGATGCGAGTAGCTGGAGCGATTTGTAGCGACCTTCTAGAGGCTGAAGCAGAGAAGAAAGAAGAAGCAGGGTTCGTGGCGGCGGCAGTAGTTGTGCTTCTCGCCGGAATGTAAAGCCTCGATCGTCGACAACCTCTTCGCCACGGAGATCGTTCGCTGCACTCCCAAACGCGATCTCCTCAGTCGCAGCAGAAGCGGGCCATCACTGCTTTCCGCCACTGACCACCAAAACGTCTGGTCGTCTTCCCATGAACTCAGCAGCAGCCGGCCGTCAACGCCTTCCTCCGCTGAATACGAAACCGTGACGCCCTCTTACCAGAATTTTCCGATGGAAATTGATTCTCCTCCTGTCCTGCGGGTAGGCGAAAGGATAACGTGGGAACCCAGTAGAAAAGGTGGTATTCCAGCCAAACGAAAATTAAATGAAAAATAAATGATAACGTGGGAAACCAGGAGAAAAAGGTGGGTAGTGAACGATTCTTAGTTCTGCAATCTGGCGGGGAGTTCTATTTTTTTCCCGCTCAACACCCTGCCACATCAGCTTCCTAGAATCACTCTATGGACAGGAAAATTTGAATGGGGGTGGCAGTTTTACTTTTCCGCTATAAATTATATTGTTGATATAAAGAGTGGTTACGCTTTATTGCCCAAAGCCGCTATTTACTGTTTCACTTCTTGTCGTTTTTTGTGTGCACCTTCACCGACCTCCTTTGGCTTTCAACTTGCAGCGACCGCTTCTTGCTTCTGGATTTAAAATAGCTGTCAGCCTCGACAGAAGAAACCTTAGCCCTTCCCCGTCCATTCCATGCTTTCGGTACATCAAACCCGTGCCTTTACTTTTGGAGCCGAAAATTCGGAAGGCACGTTATCCAGTCAGTTCGTCACTCCGCTTTGCTTTCCCGTACATCCAAACCATGTCTTCCTTCTGCTTCTACAGTGTTGTCCTCTCCCCAACAGTTGGCTACGATTGTAGTGGGAGACAAATGGTTCCCCCTTTCCCCACTCCATAATCTCTTTCTTCTCTCTTGCAAGTTGCAACGAAAACCCTAAAAGTTTCCTCGCTGCTGGTCGCCATGGAACCCGCTGCAGAGCACGACGGTAGCAATGAAGATTTGGATGACACAGTTTCGTCGAGTTCGTAATCGAGCCCTATCCATGGTGAGGAACAACATAAACTGACGGTGGTGGTGGCGCTGGACCAGTAGGAGGAAAGGGTCAGAGTTGGTGGAACCGCCGATGTTCAGGATGGAAGACGGGAGAAGCTCGCGGCTGCCGAGGAGGGGACCTGGAATGGCCACGACTCCCTGGCCGGGGAAAAGTAGGGCGACGGCGGTGAACTTAATTTTACTTTTTGTATTAATCGATTGATCTTCCTCCTACCACAACACCCAAAAAATCAACTTGCTTCTCAGTTTACTTGATTTTACTGTTGCAGGCACAAGCTAACCATGGAGCTTGGAGCAGCAGCAGCAAACATAATGGACAATTACTGCAGAATTACAAAAACTGGTTTGGGAGGCCGGTGCCACCGACATCAGGTTCCCGTTCACCATCAATGGTAGGCCATCTGCAGGTTAGGACTTTAGAATAGACAATTTTGAGTGAAAGCATTCACAAGTTTTGATCTTTAAGAGAGGGTTGAGCTATGAACTTGATATTGTGGGATTACCAGATGGGGAATGCTAACAAGAGATGATGTGAGAGGGGGCAAGAAGGTGACAAAATTGCCACTTAAGGCTGAAACCAACCAAATATGAGCTACTACTGAAAATCAAGTTACTATTTATGTTTTGTTCTTTAATCTGTTTTTGTGCAGTGCACAAGCAAAGGGGCTTTAGTGTTCTTAATGCTTCTTTCTTTCACTTGCTGTTATTATTTCAAAGATTGTATCTGATTGCTACTTGGCTCTGTGTGGAGTCTGTTGTTGAGGAATTTCACTATCTCACTGTGGCAGGTCTAAACGAAAAGTTCATTGGATTCACATAATATAAGCAAGATTTTTCATTGTTTCTTCATCTTGGTTTGATGCTATTAGCTCTACTATTGCATCATTACGATACTTTTGATTCTCTGGTCAGTGGGTGGATAATAGATTAGAAAATGTCCCGATTGTGATTAATAATGGAGTTCTCTGTTTTGATGAATAATAATGGAGGTTAATGTATATAAAATTTCTACCCTCTTTCTGTTCACCATAAAAATGAGAACAAGGTTTCACAAAACTTGGAAAAGATGGACTTCAGAATATTTGTGGTGTTTTGTTGCAGATGAACATGGGTAAGGCTTGAATAGATTCTCTTTATTTATTAGATGTTTCTCGGTTTTGACAGAATTTCTGGTTTCACATGTGAGCTTTGGTTGGATTATAGGTTAGTTTTCATTTGCTTCTCTTGGATTTAGCAAAGTTAAGGACACAGTTGGTGTCAGCAAGTTTTGATAGTAATGCTTATGTTTCTATGATGCATGGTTCGTGGCTGATTGCTTATGGCATTACAGGTGGTCTCCTTTGAAGTTGCTTCTTCGGCTTTATTTTTCCTTCTTTGTTGGATTCAGATTCCCTTAGATTGATTAGTTTGACAGAACGTGCCAGCCCAAATCAGAGGACGAGAAAGCAGAGGTAAAAACACAGGACCAGTTGGATATACTGGAGTTCAAATTGAACTGAAGTTGACAATCATTCATGGTACTGATCAATATTGTTTTATCTCTTCCCCTTTATCTTTAGTTCCTTTAGCTTACTACCTGATGTGTTAGGCTCTTTACGAAGTTGAAATGCTTGATTGATGTCATAGAGCCTCCATTATCAATTGATAGAGTATGTCAGTTTATAGTTTGTAAGCTTTAATTCGGCCAATGATCATACCTGCTTCAGTGGAACAAGATATGATTTTCACAACTCTTTGGAGTCCCCTTTGTGAAAACATTCACCGAATTTAGATGAACCAGCCAATGATCATAGCACATGCATATTCTCTAAACATATCCTTCCCCTTATTTGTTTTTCGTTTCTTAATCCATGAGTCCTTTTTGATTTTTTGAGTTTATCTGATGTCAATTGCATATTTTGGTATTAGAATTATGGAAACCAGAAACTGATGTATTCAGGGAAGTTTGCAGATCAACCAACAAGTTGAAAGAAAGGTAATTAGCTGCACTTTCTCCTTCGTTAAAAGTGACAACTACTACAAACCATATCTTTTTCTGGATTTGTAGGGTTAAGTATTCTTACTCTTTTTCATCTCTCTTGGATTTAAGCTGAACTCGCAGGTGGTTCAGGGGAGTTTTGTGATGCTTACTTGACTTCTTCCTTTCTTAATGCAAACTTGGAGAAACTATTGGCTGCTCAATGAGGACAAATTCGTGGAGGAAAGTTTGGAGGGGACAGGTTGTAGAACTTTTCAGAATATCTAAAACATTTCAGGTAGTTTTCTCGCTTTGTGTTGGCAGAACGTTCTGAACATGAAATACTAATGCATAAATTCGTATCATCTTCCATGTGTCAATTTCTGCATCAAAGCTCAAGGAAGTGAAAACCAAACAGAATGGCGGAGAAGGGGAAAGCAAGGTGAAATTGACTACAGTGAGTAACCAAACCGTCCACTGGAGACAAATACAAAAGGTGCATTTAAACTATGATTTGTTTTCTCATGATGTCTGTTTTTACCTTCCCGAACTGTTAAGTTTGCTTTGGCATAATAAGAATGTTACCTTCTCGATTGATGCAGTTTATTATAATTGGCTACACTTTTGGGCCTTCGTAGGATATTAGTTTTCCATCGTCGGAGTGAATTGAATGCTTGCATTGTTAATTGACGGGGTGAATTGAATGCTTGCATTGTTAAATGATGCAGGAATATCAGAAAGGAGGAACAATGTCTCTACAAGCTCAGGGAATCCAAACTTCTTCACCACCATAGCTGAAGGTCGCATGAAGCATTGTTACATTGTAGATCTCAAGTTTCTATCAAATGCTTATACTTGAGATATCTCTTATTTGTAGTAAATGGGGAAACTACTTGGATTTTACTAATTGTTAGATATTGTGTAGTTATGAAGAGATTTCGGACCTTTAAATATAATTTGATGTTTGAGAGCACATGCTGATTGACTATGGAACTCACAATGCGAAGGTTTGCCAACTATACTTTCATTATTGTGAAATTCAGCCCAATGACAAGAAAACAACAAACTCAATTGATGAAATTCAGTTTGCCATCAACTGAATTGCCCGCTATACGATCATACTAATGTAAATCCAGTTCTTGCGGCGTAGCCGCGGGTATTGATTCTAGTTAACAAGTAACAACCAAGTTTTACCACTCCCACTCGGTCCCATGACCTGTCATATACAGTGATTTAGTACAATTAAGTACCATCCTCTAACATGCATAGGTGAACAAACACACCTGCAAACTGACCTATCCGTCCAACCCGTCCCAACCCACTCGTATTTATCGTTAAAATTAAGGTTGTAGGTTGAGAAAAAGAGGGAGGAAGGCATGGGGGTGGGAGTCATTGTGGGGTCCGCATCTGGTCAAGATTCAGTATCATCATTAAATGGATTGACGCTATTACGATTTTGCCCCTCTGTGTATTTAATTTTCCTGATCTGACGGTTACGAATTAAATGCAATGGACGGTAGATGAACTGGTTACTCACAATTACTGATAAAAACGTTACTAATGGGATCCGGACCCACTCACTGCTGCATCTGTGAGTTTTCGGCTATCTCTTTACCCTAATTCCTTAAACATATCAGGGATAAAGTATTTGTATTGCGTTAGTCCATTTTCTATTTTCACCTCTTAATTTGGTAACCAAAACAATTGTGGCATAGATAACCATATGTGTTCCACACACAAACAAAAAAAAGTCCCACTTTAGGTAGAATTAAATCGACAAGGAAACAGAATTAGAAATGTCTCTCCGTTGGATTTTTTTCTTCAGAAACAATAATAAGTCACGAGTAGGATCGCCATGGCTATAAGCAGGGAAGCAGCCGATAGCACATCGTGTGATGGAAGAGACGCCGATGCCGCGTTCACAACAGGTCGAGCCCCGCCCGTGGGGTTGTCTGCTTCCGGCGGGAACGCGGGTGACAGTGGCAGCGTCACCGTGGAATCTGGAGCTGGCGCATCGGCTACGCCTGATGCCGCCGCTGAAGGCCCAGGTGGTGAGGATGGGTTCAAAATGGCAGGCCCAGGTGCTGGCAGAGGAGATCCAGAAGCTGCACGCCCTCAGCAAGTCAAACACAAAAGACAAGAACTTTAGACAAAATCGTAAATTCACGTAAAATCAACCAAAAAAAAAGGTAAGAGTGGTAAAGTAAAATCGGAACGTTCCGAGTGGTAAAGTAATATTGTAAATCGAACCATTGTGAAATCATAAGATTCTGATTTAAATAAAAATCTTCAATTTTCTAATAATCAGAAATGAAAGAGAATAAAAATAGTGACATATTCCAACTAATTGTATAAAATATTAAAATAGATTAATAAATTTTATTAAATATGTAGTTAGTAACATATGTACCGTTGATCAAGGCAATATGAATCGGATAACATCGGCGAGCGAATAAAGGATAAAAATAGATGTGGAAATTGGATTAGATTGGTGGATTCTTGAATTTGGATCAAATGAGCTGGGGATTCAGAATTTGATCAAATGAATTGGTGGATTCATGGTATGGCTCAAATAGATTGGTGGATTGGATTCATACATACAATTTCCAAGTGGTATATCTTAACATTGGACAAATACAAAAAAAAAAATTAAAAATTTTAAGTACTAAAATGTCATAAGAAAAATGTTTAGTACCAAAATATAATTTTTTGAATGATGTTTTCTATTGAAAACAAAATTTAGTTATCAATTGTAAATATAAAAAATAGAGATAGTAAACTATAGTTTACCAATAATTCATGAATTCACGAATTCAATTGAATTTGAATTAAATAGATTGAATTAAAATAAATTAGATTAACTGATTATTTTAGTTGATGAATTGTATTAGATTAATGGGTTCAGAATTCAGATACTCACACTTAATTTATTCTTACCAGATTTTCAAATAAGATGGTGACCTCTAAAAAAAACAATTTTGTAAGTTCAAATTTATGACAGGATTTGACAAGATTTCCTCCATCTAAATCGAAATTTTAGCTAAGATTGCACACGCAAGTGAACGATTGGCCGAAGTACGGTCCGACCAATTCAATAGATTCGGATTGATCGAGGATCGAATCTGAGAACTAAACTAACTATTCCGATCGACTTCAATCATCAATTCATCATCGTCAGGAAAATATAATAATAACAGTACAGTACCTTTGCAACGCAGGGGGACGCCCATCTTGCAGGCCTTGGGGAGGGAGACGGAGGGAGTTCGGCCAAAGGGCAGCTGAATGGGGACGTTGGCGGTGAGCAAAAGGCAGGCGCAGTCCATGCTCGCCGCCACCACGTCCTTGAGCGCCCCGCAGCAGCTGGCCGTCGGCGATACTCCGTTGCCGCTGCTCCCCGTCACGAAGTTGACGCAAGGCGTGAAGCTGGTCACCATCGAAGCCGTGCACGGCGTGCTAATCTGCGCCCTGATCAACGCTGGAACCATCATCATCATTACTGCTACTGCTACTACCAGCCGACACATCCCGAGCTTCACGCCTTCCATCTTCATTGATTGGTATATACTTGCGAGGTAGCTTGCTACTGTATTTATTTATGAATTGGTAGCAAGGAGAATATAGGAATGGAGGAAAGGGTCGTTTTTTGGAGTTGAACCACTAGAACTAACTTTGCTTTTCTTGTGTTCCTTCTGGATTGGGGTTTTTGGCCACTGTGAGAAGTAAAGAGCTGTGGGAGGTGAGCGCGGGTGTTGAGAGTAGGTGGGTTAGGCGTGGCGTTTTTGGGAGAGGAAGTTGGTTTTCTTTCTCAACAATAATCACTTCGTCGCAAAAAGGGAAAGTTGGTTCGAGCTCTCTTGGATTTCCTTTCGTCAATACCAAAGCTCAACTGGGTAACTAGGGTAGCAGTAAATATATGTGTTAATTAGTTACTCTTGTCAATTTTGCGGCAGTGATGGTATGCAGTCATATTGCACACGTTTTCGGTGTTTTATTTTTTTATTCATCCTTCTTGCGCTTCGGTTGTGTTTGAAGATGTCATGTTCGATGAGTGAATTCGGTACGCAACGACTTAAAATGCCGCATGAAGCTTGTGTATAGTTCGGTCATTAGAATTCACATTCTGATTCCGTTGGCAGCCACCCTATCATACTTAGTAATGATAACAAAACTCGAACCGACGGGTACCCTATCCGACCCAACTCGATCAACGCGGGTAAAACCTAAGGTTGGATATACGGGCGGGTCACCCGCGGGTTTGTGTTAATCGAAACGATATATCGAAACAGAAAGAGTAAATCGACACCAGGAGTTACGTGGTTTCCCCGTTCAGTATGAACGAGACTAGTCCACGGCCGAAGCTAGAGTATCGTATTATTCAGCTTAACGTTCACAGGTTCACTTACATCCATATATATACAAGCTAGGGTCTCTAACCCTAGACCAATACTCGGCTAACCCTAAGTCACTTACACAAATCAACCGTGACTAGGGATGTGGGCCGAAGCCCATACACACTACTCAACAGCCTCCCCCAAATTGATGAGGATCTCTCATCATCAATTTGCGAGAAAGGTAAAAATGGCGACTGGCCGAGAACGACTTGGTTAGCAGATCGGCAATCTGGTCTTCAGAAGTGATGTAGAACAGCCGCAGAATGCCATCACGAACCAAGTCTCGTATGTAATGAAGATGAACCTCAATGTGCTTCGTTCGATCATGAAGCACCGGATTAGTAGCAATCTGAATGGCGCTCGTGTTATCCACATAAAGCTGGAGAGGAACAGCACAAGTCACCCCTAAATCACCCAGCAACCGCCGAAGCCAGACCAGCTCAGAAGCAACATCAGACATAGCACGATACTCAGCCTCAGTAGAAGATTTCGACACCCGGTCCTGCTTCTTACAACGCCATGAAATGAAGGACTCACCAAGACGAATGCACCAACCAGTAGTGGATCGACGAGTATCGATGCAGCCAGCATAATCAGAATCAGAGAAACCCTGAAGATCAAGAGAACCGGACGATGGGAGAAACAACCCCACCTCTCGAGTACCCTGTAGGTACCGCAAAATACGATGGACAGCAGCAAGATGATCCGTACGAGGAGCAGACATAAATTGACTCACAATCTGAACTGCATAGGCAATATCAGGGCGAGTCGACGTCAAATAGATAAGACTCCCAACCACACTACGATAATGCTTACCACCGTCAGGCAGAAGATCACCAGACTCGCGGCCAAGCTTCAAACCAAGCTCCATGGGAGTAGAAACAGCAGAGCACTCGCCAAACCGTGAGGAGACCAGTAAATCATCAATGTACTTGCTCTGGCATAAGAGAATCCCGGCGCTACTGCGCTTAACCTCAAGTCCCAGAAAGTAGGAAACGTACCCAAGCTCCTTAAGAGTAAAAGAATCATGAAGTCCTTTAGTAAGAGCAGTAATCCCCAATTCATCATCACCTGTAACGATCATGTCATCGACATACAATAAGAGAACCACAAGACCACGAGAAGAACTGTGACCATCTTTGCAACTGGGGCAAAGGTCTCCTCAAAATCAATGCCATATTCCTGACAAAAACCTTGAGCCACCACCCTCGATTTGAAACGCTCAATGGAGCCATCAGGTCGGACTTTAATGGTATAGACCCATCGAGACCCAATAACCGGAACAGAAGGGGGGGCCGAGGTACCATATCCCAGGTATGATTGGCATGAAGAGCATCAATTTCCTCCGTCATAGAATTATCCCAATCCGGATTCCCTTTAGCCTGTGAATATCGAGTAGGAACAGGAATGGGATCAACGCTGAAAGCCAAATAGTCCAAATGACGTACCGGTGGAACACCTCGAGTGCTGCGAAGTGAGCGACGAAGTGGTGCCACTGGAGGTGGAGAAGGCGAAGGCGAGGTGGACGATGACTCGTCGGACGAGCTGGAAGCCGAAGGCGCGGGCGAAGGGGGGGAGTCGGGGGGCAGCTCGGGAGCTTCATCATCAAGATATCCATCGTCATCATCACCAAAGCAAGGCGGAGCAAGGGATAGGTCAAACAAGGGAGGGTCGGACACAGAGGAAGACGAATGGTACATCAAATTCTCAAGAAACACAACATGACATGCAATACGAACACGACGGGAAGTGGGATCATAACAAAGGTAGCCTTTATGAATGTCACTATAGCCAAGGAAACAGCAACGAGCAGTTTTAGAGGTAAGCTTAGTGCGTTCAGAACGAGGAAGAAGAACAAAACAGACACACCCAAAGACACGAAGGCGGGAATATGGTGGAGGTTTGGAAAACAGGCGGAAGTAAGGGCTAGTTTGGTCGAGAATCGGTGTAATCTGATAATTGATAAGACGCACAGCAGTAGCAACAGTTTCAGGCCAAAAAGACGATGGGACAAAAGAGGAAAGCAGAAGAGCACGAGTGACTTCAAACACATGACGATTTTTTCTTTCTACGACCCCATTTTGTTGAGACACCCCAGGACAAGATTTTTGAGACAAAATCCCCATATCACGATAAAGTTGTAACAAGGGACCAGAACTAAACTCCCCTCCCGGATCAGAACGGACTACACGAACAGTTCTACCAAACTGGGTTTTAATCATAGCAAGGAACTCGGTGGCAACAGGCAAGAGATCAGACTTTAGGCGAAGAAAGTACACCCATGTATATCTAGTAGCATGATCAATGAACAGAGCAAAGTATTTATAACCCAGTCGAGAAGTCGTAGGACTAGGTCCCCATAGATCAGTGTGGATCAAATCAAAAGGCTCAGAGATAATGGTAAGACTAGAAGGAAAAGAAATTCTCGTAGTCTTAGCCTCAATGCAACTAGTACATGAAAAATCCGACGAACACTGACCATGGGTGTTATCCCCAAATAACTGCTGTTTAAACATTGTCATAAGTCTACTAGAGTTCGGATGGCCTAACCGAGCATGCCATAATTGAAAATTTTTAGCAGGAAGACTCGAAAACACTGTAGGAAAGAAGGTGGCTGGTGATGACAATGACGATGGGGGGCGCAGCTGGTCAAGAACAAATAAGCGCCCCGTCTTGCTGCCCCTACCGATCTCCCTCCCTGTCTTCTGATCCTGAATAACACAGCCAGAGGGTGCAAAAGTAACACAATAGCCCTGGTCAGTAAGCTGACCTACAGAAACCAAACTAGGCACCAACTTCGGCACATGATACGTAGATGGTAAAACAACATTAGAGTCATGAACTGTGCCCATGCCCGCTACACTTAACTTCTCACCATTAGCAACTTGAAGAGACAAATCATTCACAGGCTGTAATTGCTGAAGCGTAGAACTATCACCAGTCATATGATTGAAACAAGCAGAATCAAGTATCCAGTGAGGGATCTTACCGGAAACCTGAAGACTAGCAAAGGCGGTGGAAATCGCCTTGTTAACCATTTGCTCAAGAGCTGCAGGAGTCACCAGTATGCCTTGGGAGTCACCACTAGCCTGCGCAGCATAGGCAGGACGCGCAGAGGAGCCTCCCCGAGACGAAGCTCCATTCCCGCGGCCTTCATCATCGCGAGAACGACCATTCCCGCGACCATCGTCTTCGCGGAATCGACCCTCCAATGCGGGGCAAGCTGAGATTATATGGCCAGTTTTCTTGCAATAGTGGCAAAAATTCCTCTTCTTGCAGTACTTCTTCGTATGCCCTTTTTCATGGCAATGGAAACATTCGACATCGGCAGCAGAGACACGGCGCTGAAAGGATGCGCGGTAAGCAGCATAGGCGGAGGAGTCACCTGGGTCATCTCGTGAGCTGGAGGAATGCCCTTGCGTGCCTCCTGTTCCCGCAGCGGCAGCAGACGGTGGCGAGCGGGACTGGTTTGGTGCGACGCTGAAGACAGACACATTATCAGCAGCACCAGGCCGAGTATCCAAGGTTGCCTGGGTGCGGAGCCTAATTTCCTCCTGAACTAATGGCCCCAAAACTCCTTCAAGTTTCAGATTTTCCCTGTTGAGCAAGGAGGAACGAATGGTTTCGTATTCGGGATTCAGGCGCATAAGGAATTGCATAGTCCGCATCTTCTCCCTCTCGGCTTTAACTTCAGCCGATGCAACTGATGAAAGAAGACCGGCCATGACGAGGTCCTGCTCTGTCCACAAGTTCCGAGCAGCATTATAATAGGACGTCACGTCCAGATTCCCTTGAAAGAGGCGAGAGAGTTCGACCTCTATCTCGTATTGACGAGACGCAGTGACGGTGCGGTATGTATCCGCCAGATACGTCCACATAGCGGTTGAGCTGGGCAGCATACGCAGTCCCAGGAGAATAGTAGGATCGACAGAATTGAGGAGAAGGGTTCGGACCTTGGCGTCGTTCATCGCCCACTGCTGGACTTATTGTGCGGTCGCCGGCGGTGAGATTGGACGAGCCACGGTCCCATCGAGCCATCCCAGTAAACCTTTCCCCTCAATCAACGTCCGAAATTGAAACTCCCAAACAGCATAATTCTTGGAGTTCAAACGTGCTGTAATCTGATCGGAAGACATAGGCTCTGATACCATGTTAATCGAAACGATATATCGAAACAGAAAGAGTAAATCGACACCAGGAGTTACGTGGTTTCCCCGTTCAGTATGAACGAGACTAGTCCACGGCCGAAGCTAGAGTATCGTATTATTCAGCTTAACGTTCACAGGTTCACTTACATCCATATATATACAAGCTAGGGTCTCTAACCCTAGACCAATACTCGGCTAACCCTAAGTCACTTACACAAATCAACCGTGACTAGGGATGTGGGCCGAAGCCCATACACACTACTCAACAGTTTGGGCCAACCCAACCGCATTTGACCCGAATTTTGTTATGTGGGTGGGTCTATGGGTGGGTGGCGTTGGGAATCATCCGCCGGGTGACGGGTGGGTTGTGGGTGGGTCCGCGGGTGACCTGCTCAACCCAACAGCAAAAAGAACAAAGTCGTTGGCGCTGTAGAGGGGAGATTGGAGACGTTAGACGGAAACTAGGGATGCTCTTGGAGATTGAACCTCAAAACCAACCTTTCAAATAGCGATCCCCTCTTTTCCCTTTATTTTTTCCTCTGATTCTTGTGCCTAGATCACCTCTCTTTCTTCCGTTGAATTATTTTTCTTAGTTTCCTGCACTTGATAATCATCTCCATCTGTAGAAAACTCCTCCATAATAGATTTTCTATTCAATTTCAGAACTAACTCGACATTTAATTTTCCCCCCTATTCCATCTTCTTGTTTCCACACGATAACTCTCTCCAGCGATTATCTTGTCAAGTTGACTCCTTTATATTATATACATTGTGCTGTGGGTGAACCTACAAACTCACCCGCATCATCCATCATCCGCAAACCCAACCCGAGACTAAATGCGGGTGGGTGGTGGGTTGAAAATTATTAATCCATTTAAGCGCGGGTGGGTGCGTTTTATGGTAAAATCCGCCCGACCCACCCGATGCCCACCCCTAGTAAAACCCATGTTGATGGGTTTTAGGTCGGATTCGGGTTTAAACTCGTGCACCATTCACCGGGCTGGATTTGGATTTAGGTATACCCGCCCCATGGGTATTCGCCCACACCCATATAATTAATTTTCCCGATATATTTAATACTCTAAACAACTAATCTTCTTTATATGTTTGTGGAGACATGTCTAATTTTTACTTTCTAATTGTGTACAATGAAGTTGATATTATCGAGTGGAGAGTGAAGAAGTTTAATTGACAACGAGGAAGAAGCTTTCAATTGATCATGTTGTTTATGGATAATTTGTGATTTTTTTTTCTTCTTTGGCTTGGTGTGTCTCCGCGCGCATAGGCTTTAATTTTATTTATTTATTTATGAATAAGGTGTTTATTTTTGCTTTAATTTTATTTATTTATGAATAAGGTGTTTTATTTATGAAGAAAGGAATGACAGAGTGTCATCCTAACAGAAAAATCTCCAACCCCCATTACAAAGTTCATCAGACAATTGGATTACAAGATAAAACAACAACAAAGAGCCTAATCAGACATTTACAAACACTATCTAATTGGCAACACTATCTAACAGCCTATCAGAAAAAATCAAAGCAGCAACAGGGACACCACATTTTAGCAGTCTTAGGAGATCCTAGATCTTCTCTACCAGTTGTTCTTCTACAAGGAGCTTGCCATCATAAAGCCTTCTGCAACGCTCCCTCCATAATTCGTTTACCATCATTATCCATACCATTCTGCTATACTTGGCTAAATTTGTTTCTGCCTTGAACCTTGTGACTGCCTGATGCGGTGATCCATTCTCGTTACTACAAAAGAGGGAAGAAGCGCCTGGAATCACATGTAGAATTTTCCTGGAGTAAATGCACATTTTTCCTTTTCTTTCTCTCACTGTGTTGGGTCTTCAATCTTCATCCTTCGAGCGTCAGTTGCAAGGGGTGGAAATCGGTACGGTATCGGTATCCCAATACCAAATACCGAAATCCCAAATATCGAATTACACTCTGAAATCAATCACAATCCCAATCCCTAAATAATTCCGGTATCCCAATCCCAATCCCTAAATATTTCGGTATCCCAATCGGTACCTCGGTATCCCAATCGGTATAAGCAAATACAAAATTAATTACGTTTGCCATTAATAATTAAATATATAAATTAGATTTTATTGTTTAATTTAGGGCAAAGAGACTAAGCAAAGAGTCTTAAGTTGCCTAGAGCTAACATCTCAAGTTTTTGTAATTGATAATCTTTAATTTGATGAATTTGAGGTTGAGAGACGACTAATACTAGTGTGAAATAGTGATGTAATGATCTATGTATAATTAAATGACACTCTTGGTGGTTGAGGGTCGCGTAGTAGTGAATGAGAGAGTCTAGTTGAGAGGATAAAATACACACTAGCTTATATTTCGGTATTGATCGGTATTTCGGTATATACCGATCCCAATCCCGTTATCCCTAATACCGAATAACAATTGAAACCCAATCTCAATCCCACAAAATAATACGTGTATTCGGTAATACCAAATTTAGACAAATTCGGTACGGTATTCGGTATATCCCAAATACCGGTACCAAACATCCAGCCCTAACTGCACTACTTCTAGACGAGTGCTTTGGAACTTTTTCTCATATTACTTTCTTGAGCATAATTAGTATTTTGCATTCGATGCTAGGCTTGAATCCCATCCGGAAAGAGAGGTAGAAGGTTGATGTGACGTCTGCTTCTTCTGGCAGAGAGAGAAAAGCATTGACTTTTGGGGAAGAGAGGTAGAAGGTTGATGTGACGTCTGCTTGTGATGGCGACTGCAAAATCTTCTCCTTCTCATTGGAGCACCGATATGTGCATGGCTCTGGCCGGCGAAGTTGTCGGAATATCACTATTGTTTTTTTTTCTTCTTTCTTCTCTTTTCTTGATTTACAGGTTCACTCGCTGACATCGACGTTGGTGGAGACGGACGACCGAGCCACGATCGGTGATGACGTCTAGCCTTGCCGGCGGGATTTTTGTTGCTTCTCTGATTTTCTCTTCTGTTGTTTCTTGGCAAATTTGGTGATGGAAAAATACATGGAGGGGGAAAAGTCGCCGCTGACAGGGACTAGCAGCTAGGCGGACATGGGATGAGAACTATTGATGTTGGTGGTTCGCGCTCTCCTCTTTTCCATTTCACATCGATAGATCTGGATCTTTCTTCTTCATGGTCATTCTTGCTCTTGGCAGGGTCTTGAACCTAGAAATGCTATTTTCATTTTCCCTTGCTTTACTGGAAAATCTTTCTTTTTCCCTGCTGCTTCCATGATTGTTGGATTCAGCAGGTTTCATCCTCCCTCATAATTTGAACAATAGAATATCCAAATCGAGCCTCACGGTGGACGCCAAACTATTTGATCGTGGAAAGTGCCCAAGGCTAATATAATAATAATTGGGAGGGGGTCCGATCTGGTCTCCCTTGCCGATCTCTTCGGGAGGTGAGGAACCTGTGAGGAGGAGAAGGGCGACCCCCGAGATCTACGCTCCGATGCCCAAATCAATACGGAATATAATAATGGTGTATGTGGAATTAGAGAGAGAGAGAGTAGAGAGAGAACCGTATGTGAAGAGTGTAGGAAGGGAAGAGAGCATCCTTTGACATGGAGGCATGAGCTTCCTTATATAGGTGCTTGAAGCTTCTTTGGAGTGGGCTTGGGTCCGACATAGAATGGTCATGTGGTGGGCTTGGGCCCATTGATGACGTGTTATTTGTCGTATTAGCCAAATTAATACCACACCCAACAATAATACTACATGTAAACCCAAAGTTATTTTCTCAAATATAGTGTATATGTGCTTTGACGACGAAGCTATAGATCACAACGGTAATTAAGCACATAGAATAGGCAAAAAGCTTCCTTTTTTTGGTTATTTGGAATTAGTAAGTTAAAGCCCGCACACATTATGAGCAGAGGTGGATTCAATTTGGGGAAAAAGTTGTCATCAGGGCATTAACTATCATCCACTCAAAGGAAAGCGACCAAGAGGAAGATGGTGATGAAGAACAATGTTTGGAGTGAAGGTCACCAAGAACTTGGTTTGGATTTCAGATCTCGAAAATTTATTGGTAGATTCGAAGAGCAACGACGACGTTTACAGTAATTGAAGTCGTTGCAACCATCAACTAGTCAAAGCCCCAATTGTCGAGATAGATCCTCCACCACTGAGGAAGAGGAGAAGGGTTGAGGGGCGTTCACAACAACAGATGGAAGGGGCCTTTGGATCTTCTTTTTTTAGTGCTTTCATTATGTTCAACATTTAAAAATGTCATCAACATTGCTGGAATCGTTGTTCAATTTGATATAACGGTTTTGGCTAAATTACACGTTTAGTCACTCGAATTATACAAATCTTTCACGTTTGCCATCCACATTACTTTTCTTTCTTATTCGCTACTAACTTTACGAATTGTTTTACTATTTTACACTCTGTTAAATTTGTCCTACGTGGCAGTCAACTATAAAGTTTGACAGTTAACTAGATGATGAGGAAAATAAAAAATAAAAAAAAATTTATTTATCCACATCATCATTTCACTTACTTTGTCTTTATCATATCAATTATTTAACAAAAATTAATAAATTACAAAAGGTATGGGTGGAAAACACTAAAAAAGTTGAAGATTTCATGGTCGTCGAAGCGCCTGATTGCATCTCGTATCTGCCAGATGAGTGCTTGTCTGTCATTTTCCAATTGCTGAGCTCCGCTGACAAGAAGAGGTACTCACTGGTCTGCCGCCGGTGGCTCATGATCGAAGGTCATAGCCGCCATCGCCTCTTGCTCAATGCGCATGCCGATCTCCTCCCACCGGTGCCAATGTTGTTCACTCGCTTCAATTCTGTCAACAAACTCGCCCTGAAATGGTAGCGCAGATCCACGAGCATCGGCGACAGGGAAACAAAATGACACACTACAAAGCTAAACAACTATCTATATAAGAGCCTCCACATCCTCTGCATCCATCACAAGACCTCCTCACTCCCCATTTGAGATCCCAATCCCATCCTACTTTCTTAAAGAAACAGTGAAACAAAATGGCAGCCTCCCTTTCCCTCCCAAATCACTAATACTACTTTTCATCATCGAAATGGGGTCTCCCAGCTTGCAGCATCCAGAGAGCTCCAGAGATTTATCCTCCTGCTGATAATTTTTTTTTTGTAATTTTTATTAATTAATACTATGATAAATCACAAAGTAAGTGGTATAATGAGGTGGAAAATAAATTTATTTTTAAATTTTTTAAATTTCCATGTCATCTAGTTATCGGTCAAACTTTATAGTTGACTGCCATGTAGAACAAATTAAGCAGAGTGTAACGACCGGTGACTAACGGTGAAACGATTCGTAAAGTTAGTGGCGAATAAGAAAAAAAAAGTAATTCGGGTGGCAAACGTGAAAGATTTGTATAATTCGAGTGACCAAACGTGTAATTTAGCCTAACGGTTTTGGGATGAAAATTTTAAGGGAGGAGTATGTTTGAGGACAAAATACACTTCCATAGCCACAATTTTCACGTTTGTGATAGATATAGCCACAACTTTCAAAATACACGAAATAGCGAGAATTTTGATAGTTGTTTGACAAATTTAGTCATTTCCATTACAAACTTTAACGGTGTTAGAGATTCTGTTAGTTAGGTTAATAGCATGCTGACTAGGATGCCAAATTGACGCACACGTCAGCGACAACTCAGCCTCACTTGCCATGTAGATGCCACGTCATAATTTACTTTTAAAAAATTAGGCAAAATACACTTTCATTGCCACAACTTTCATTTTTGTGACAAGTATAGCCACAACTTTTGAAATACAAGAAATAGCCAGAAGTTTAATGGTTTTTTTGACAAATCTAGCCATTTCCGTTACAAACTTTCGAAATACACAAAACAGTCGCGACCGTATCCTCGATTTCTTCTTAGGGCTCTGCTTGAGAGGGAATGCAACGAATCAGGCCAATTGATAGCGATGAATCGAGCTTCACCGAAAATAAGAACAACCATTCAATGCACTACGAGCTGCCACATTCTTCCTTCCCGACCCATCGTTCTTTGTCGCCATCGAAGACATTGTCTCCGCCTTCATCGTCGTTGTTAGCTTCTTCTTCGTGGTCGTTGTTAGCTTCTTCCCATCATCCTTCTTTCCCTCTTTCTCGCCATTTTTCTGTGACCCCCCCCCCCCCCCCCAAGCGCTCAAGGCTTTCTTCTCCAGTCATACTGTTAAGTGACACCGTTAAATGAATGGATGGAAGTGGTTATTTTGTGTATTTCAAAAGTTGTGACTATGACTGTCACGAAAGTGAAAGTTGTGGCTATAACTGTCACAAACGTGAAAGTTGTGGCTACAAAAGTGTATTTTGCTTTTTTTTTGTTAATACACGTGGATCGCCAACTCAGCACTTCCGTCAGTCCAGTCATACTATTAAGTGACACCATTAAAAAGATGGATAAAAATGACTATTTTGTATATTTCAAAAGTTGTGGTTATATTTGTCGCAAACGTAAAAATTGTTGCTATAAGCGTATTTTCAATTTTGGCTATGTTTGAGAATTGTTCATTAGGGGCGTGTTTGACATGATTCATAGAAAAGGTACGTTTGAGAAAACTGCTAAAACATACCTACAAGGCTACAACCCAATAAAAAAATATAACCCCTCCTCTCCTTCCTGTTCCACCGCCGATTGTACATCTCTCTAAATTTCCTGCATTTCCAAATCCTTAACCTTTCTACGACGACAATCTTTTTTCCGTCTCTTCTGCTACCTTCGATTTCACTGCTTCATTTCATTTGATCGCCGATCCAAAATCACATCGCTACCCTGCGCACAAACTCACAGCACAGCCAAAAGGTTTCTCTGCTGCTGCGTCCTCCTTCCAACTGCGGTGCTCGCTAGTCGCTAGTGTCCCCGCAATTCATCCTCACGCCGAGGATTTAAGCAGCCGTAGCTTCCAAAGGTAAGCCACGTCTCAATCTCTATCTATCTGTGAATTGGTGTTTCGCACCGCGAAGAATTTGTTCCGTTTTCAAGGCACTTAATTCCGCTGGATGCTAAACCTATAGCCAGTGTCGTCTGCGTTCTGGGTGTGCGGGGAAATGTTGTTTTTTCTTTTGTTCCGGTGTTTGCACGGTCTGTTTATGGGTGCTCCCAACTCCCGATTTTGGGAGCTTAGACTTGCGGCTTTTGATGACATCTTGAGTTTCGTGCGAGTTTTTACTTGCTGGTGAACTGGTGCTGTGGGAATTGAGTTCGATGGGTGTGTGTCTACAGCTTAAAAACTTAATCTATGTTTATGTTTGCAATTCTAACTTGGAAGGTGAGATCAATGGTTGTGGGGTTCCCCAGAACTTCAAATGGCTTTCGGACCTATTATTGGCATGCTCAATTGTTGGAGTGGGACAAATTATTTTGTTCTTAACTATTGAGCCGAAGACTCTGTGTTCCAAAAGCTTAGTCTCAACCATTTTAAACTGGTTCCTTTGAAGTGGTGAACTTATCATCTCAATTGCCTGAGGTGTTGTATATGGAATTGGCTTGAGTCATTGTTGTTAACCACTGGAGGGATTTAAGCAGTTGGATAAAGATTGATACTGGTTGTTGGGCTTCAGGTTTGCCCATATGTCAAGAGACGTGAACTTGATTGTGCTAACATAGTTAGGCAGACAATTGGAGTCTTGATTGCGAAATGCTGGCATAAGGGAGAGATTCATCAGAGTAATGGAATCAATTATTTATGCATGTATACATCTGACAGCATAGAACTCTATCAGTTGAGGACAACGTGACAATATGAAATAAGTTATGCAATTTAGAACTTTCATTTTGCTATTAGTCTTTTATCCTGCTGATGCTTCCTAGTTGTCCCGATATGAAATAAGTTAGGCAATTTAGAACTTTCATTTTGCTATTAGTCTTTTATCCTGCTGATGCTTCCTCACTGAGAACTCCTTCTCCTCTTCATTTGGTTTAGATGGTAGTAGAAGACTTGCTGAGAAAAATGCTCTGCACAGTGCAGGTGCTCTTTCTGTTTTTCCGTGCTTTCCATTTCACTTTTGGCTTCTTCCAGTCCTGTGGTCCATGATTTTGGGATGTCGGTTCTGTCAAGCTTGTGGGACTTATCATTTTAAGATACAAGAAAATGGAATCTCTGCAATTATATGGTTGCTGTTGCCGAGAAAGAATTTCTTATAGCTGACACTGGAAAGATATGATTGTCACATACTGCTCTTTTTCTCCTTCCGGGACCCTTTTTTTTCAATTGAGCCTACTTTCAGCAATAATAACATTTTTTTTTCTCTTGCTGCTATTACCATCTGGGGTGACTCTTATCTAGTAATCTTTTTAGGCTTCAAGTTGTTGCCTAATTTTGCAGCCAGAGAAAGGAACTGCTGGTTCTGTTCTTGTTACAATTGAATTGAATTTTTCGCCAGTACATGGATTTATTCAAATGTTCACAAAAAAAAGCACATATTATGTTTTACAATTAGGTTACTCATGGTGAAATTTCACTCTATCTTAGCACAAGCGATGAATTCATCGCGGTTTCAAGAGGCTGGGAGTAGCAACTTGTCACGCTTAGCAATGTGGTTTTTTTCATTCTTTCTGTATACGTCCCTTTTGTGGTTTGCCTCTGTTTTGAACTCAATTAAAAGATTGAGAGATTATGACAGGTAGAAGTGCTATCATTTGCCGAAGTGAGTGCCTATTAACATTTCATTAACCATTTACCGTTTGAATCGATTTTGCTAATCCATATGTAGCACCCTTCATTCTGAGTGATGTTTTTGGTTGAACAGAATTCAGGCCAGTACAATTGAAGATATCATGTTATTGCAAACTTACTTTTCCCCCCTTGTAACTGCTACATGTACCACCATGGAAATTTAAATGACTGGTTTCTGTGGTGTTTGAAAATCTTAAGGAGCGATAGTCTATATTCTAAAAACTCGGTATAATATGGTAATATGTTATGTCCCACACAATCAGCTTATAAAGGCAAATGACCAAATTTTGCAATTTACAAGGACATACAATGTAAATGATGCATACTAGATAGAGTGCCATAGGATTCAGGAAGCCCGTCTGTTATGTTTTTAAACTCCCTTTTGGAGTTTTATGGTTTCAGTGATATTTGTTCATGTTATGGACTACTGATCTCGGAATTCTGAAAGCTTTACTTGTCCATTACTGACCATGTTTCTACCCTTCTTATCTCAGATATTTTGTCAATATATTCATCCAATATGATACCAACTTCCTATCAAAGAACTACTGTGGACGGATGAACCAATGTTTAGTATGTCTCAATTGATTGAAGGTCTTCCCGACGCTGTTGCCATCAGGTGCATTGCACGAGTCCCCTTTTACCTGTTCCCCAAATTAGAGCTCGTCTCTCGTTCCTGGCGATCTGCCATTCGCAGCTCTGAGCTCTATAAAGCCCGACAAGAGGTAGGCTCAACAGAGGAGTTGCTTTGCGTGTGCGCTTTTGAACCTGAGAATTCATGGCAGCTTTATGACCCACTCCGAGAGCTTTGGATTACTATCCCTGTTCTACCATCCAAAATTAAGAATCTGGCTCATTTTGGTGCTGTCTCAGTTAGTGGGAAGCTGTTTGTACTTGGTGGGAGCAGTGATGCTGTTGACCCATTGACTGGGGATCAAGATGGAAGCTTTGCAACCAGTGAGGTATGGTCATATGACCCTGTGATTCGAAGTTGGGCCCGGCGGTCATCCATGCTCGTGCCGCGTGCAATGTTTGCATGCTGCGCTCTGAATGGTAAAATAGTAGTGGCAGGAGGTCTCACTACATGTCGGAAATCGATATCTCGAGCTGAAATGTATGACCCTGAGAAGGATGTGTGGTTCCCGATACCCGATCTTCATAGCACTCCAGATTCTGCTTGCACAGGACTTGTTATTGGGGGAAAGTTGCATGTTTTGCATAGAGGCCTTTCGACCGTGCAAGTCTTGGAGGGTGTAGCAGCATCTGGGTGGAAGGTTGAAGACTATGGATGGCTGCAAGGTCCAATGGCGGTCGTTCAAGGTGCTCTTTATGTGATGAGCCATGGACTGATTTTGAAGCAGGAGGGCAAAGCGAGGAAGGTAGTAGTTTCAGCATCCGAGTTTAGAAAGAGGATTGGGTTGGCTTTGACCAAACTTGGGGATGACATATATGTGATTGGAGGGGTTATTGGCCCCGACGGATGGAATCGGGAAATCCAGCCGTTGTCAGATGTTGATGTGTTGACTGTTCTTGGGGAAAGGCCGACGTGGCATCGAGCAGCTCCAATGACTAGTTGCCGTGGAACTATTTTAGGATGTACACAGCTGAGAATCTAAGGTCTCTGCTTTGGGGGGAGGGTTTCTTTTTCTTTTGTGCTTCGTGTTTTGTTGTGAAATGGTGGTGGTGATGTTGTTGACTCCCTGCTTGGACACAAAGGGAATGACAATTGTTCTCTGGTTGTCTGCCTATCCAGTTCCTTGGTTATTGCCCTGTATTGATTCTTTTTTCTTTTTGTGGGGGAAGTCCCCCCTATCTCCTGTGAGGGACAAAGGCAACAACTGATGTTGAATCCGGCTTCAACGAGCACCTCAGTTGTACCTTGAAGTTTGTTGGAGGATTTACTGCTGACATAAGCCATTGTTATTTATTCTTTGTACTTCAGTGTATCCTATAGCAAACAAATGTATTTTTTCATCTGTCGCTCCTCTTGTTGCTAGGCCCTCTTACCTCGAACCCAGCTTCAGTGTATCCTATAGCATAAACAAATATACTTGTTTACGGTTTATGCTATTGGCTTCTTTTCCTATTTGATAGTTTATGCCTTGCTTATAGGCCATTCAAATTTCCATCTTCATTCTAACTGGCGCTATGTTAGATATGCTTACTTTTTTTATTACCATTGCAGTGGTAAATGGTTGGCCAAAGCTCTAATGTCATACCATTACAATATGTAGGTTACACTTGGAGTTGACAATGTTTCCTTGCTTTGCTATATATATGCTGGTCTCTAACTGTTGGTTAATGCAACAGGTCCTCGGAGAAGAGAGTGAGTGCAGTTTCCATACGCAACGATGGGCTGTATTTGTCTTTTGCTGACAAATTTGGAGTTGTCTGGGTTGTAGTATCCATGATCTAGATGTCAATGGAGCTTTCTCTAATAGGAAGGCAGCACCTTTTCTGGCTCATTACTGCAGCATTAGTATGAGACTGGTTTGTTATTGTTTAGTGGCTCCTTCTTTGGTATCTAGATTTACTATTTAACTGCTGAGCTAACTGTTAATTACTCTCTACTTTCTCTGCAGGAATTTTCACCGGATGGATGCTTTATAGTTGTGCAATTCTTATTTACTTGTTTTGAACGCAGGACTTTGAGAGTCTGGTGGAGACGAGGAGAGCTGCTGTACAGGATAGTAATCTTGTTGCAGTAGCCATTCAAGGGCGAGTCTCTAATCACTATAAACTTTTGTTCCATGTTATTTGAACTTTTGTTCAGTTGATGTGTTAGCGCTTTTCTGCTGATGGTTGATTTATTTACCATTTTAGCTTGCAAGGAGTAATTTTGTTGGGCTGTGAAGAAATTCCTGGTAGCCGGAAGCTGCTTGAGAAGTTGCATGGAAGTTTCTCGATTGACCAAAGTGTTTTCTCAGCGGCTGCTCAAGCACTGCAATGTGCAATTTGTTGATTAAGAAACAGTATCCAACAGAGAACAGGGAATTCAGGAAGAGAACTAGAAACGATGGAAGGCCAAACAGTAGGACCGTATGGATTGTCGACCCTACTTACCTGCCCATGGGATCGTCAACATTTGAGAAGAATCAGATACTTTGATACTATTTAGATACTTTGATCGTATGTATCGTCGACCCTACTTACCTGCCCTTAATGAGTCAAAATATTACCAGGGGAAGAAAGCTAATAAAATAGATGGTGAATTCATGTGCTGTCCTATTGCAAACTCATGTAGATGTGGCAAATGGATTAGATTAATAAATTGATTGATTGGTGGATTAATAAATTGGATCAAATGTACTCATGAATTTGTGTAATAGATTTGTGTATTCAAGTGGTATTTAAACTTTAACAATTATAATTTATTTTGGAAAGCTTAGGTACTATTTGTCATTATTAAAAATTAGGCACCGAAAAAATATTTCTTCACTATAAGAAAATCCACTTTTAGAGACTAAGCACATTTGTCACTATAAATGAATTATTTGCCTCATAACTTAATAGCAACACATAAATGTGTATCATCAATACTGATGTTGTTAAATCTCTTTAAAAGATGATTTCATTATCTTATTTTGATAACCCTTTCTCAATTTGGTAGAATAAGTATTTGCCACTAATACAATTGCTTGCAAAATCAATTATGAAGACTAAATAACTTTTCTCAGACACGTCTATGTACTCTTATTACCTTATGGTGGCCAAATCTACTTAATAGAGGCAATTATTTTACGACAAGATTTCATGATATTCTTAGAAATAAATAAATAATTCAACATATATGAAATTAGATTTCTTATTCCCAAGTACAAAGATTTGTACAATATTTTGAGACACTGGAATTACAATCTGCAAAATTTAATGATGTTTATACTAACTAATCTCAACACAATCACGAGGACAACTAGTACTATATATTGAGTTGAACTACAACACTCTCAATTTGCTGTGAATACTTCTTTGTTCTTAGCAAAGCATGTGTTGCGGCACCATTCCAGTTGGTCTTTCCACACTTCAAAGCGATAAGATTTCACATACTTGTAAGGAATATCATGCACAATGATCGCATCTGTGCTGGGGCAATCCATGATTCTGCACATCTCTGACCTACACGATGCTGGAAATGAAAACAATTATATTAACTTTGCACTTTTATCAAAGGTAAAAAGAAAGAGATCTAGGATGGAACAGTTTAAAACAAATGAATACACAAAACAAGCTTCACACAAGTCAAACGCTAAATACCCGACTGGGTATTTGGACCGGGTTTCGAATGAAGGCTGTTAAAAGCCTGTTTTGTGCGTTTTTGGAGGGGGAGAGCTAGGTTTTGGTTCCCAAACACCCAAGGGACGAACCAAAGAGAGAGAGAGGGAGATTTGAGGGCAATCTTGGAGTGAAATTGGAAGATTTCTCCGCCTTGGAAGCTCGAGGAATAAGCTCGGACTTGAAGACTGATCATCTGAAGATTTTTACCTGTGGAGTAACTTCCCTTCACTTAGGTTTTGAGGAACCCTAGCTATATTTGTTTGATTGGATGATTGTATGAGTACTCTTACTTGATAATCTTGAGTTCATATTCAATCTACGCATGTTTTCATGATTCAATTTTGCTTTAGTCGAGATTATTGATTCTGCTTTGATCCTGTGAGAGCGAATACCTGGTTAGGTCAATAGAGCGCCATAGATTGATAGTATTGGATCGGTTGCTTTAGTCGAGGGTCAATTCACTGCTTTGTATCGATTGATAACCTCATTCGGTAGAGGAAATCTAGTTCAGAATGCCTTGATCGGTTGTTCTAGAGAAGGATACTCCCTCTAGGCAATTGACTCAAGAGGGCCTTATTCCTTTAGTCGAGACTCAAGGTCTAGTTAAGGCTTCTCCGCATTGTGAATGAAAGTGAAACATGTTAGAGATCATCAATCATTAATCTGGCTAGTTGCTAGGGGGAATCATACCTATGAGTTCCCAACCTGTAATTAGATTAACTTCAACTGTAGTTTGTTAGAGTAGTTTTAGTTCTTCCATCTTAATCTGGTTTGCTAGATAATGAACTGAAGCCTAGTAATAGTAACTCTAGAGACCCGTGGATTCGATATTTATTACTTGAGCCACTATACTGCAGTCCCTTTCATTGGTTACACTTGGCCATTGTTAGGAGTTGTGTCATAGCGAGTCAGTAACCTTTTTATCAAAACCCTAACGGAAATCTCTCTCAATCGATCATTTTAAAATTATTATATGGAAGTAACTATCAGTTGTGGGCAAGATCTATTCGTATTGCACTCAAAACCAAGTATAAACTTGGGTTTATTGATGGGTCAATAGCAATTCCAGATCTGGCAATGAACCCAAATGGATTTAGAGTTTGGGATGCTTGTAATACTGTCGTATTGTGTTGGATTATGAACTCTTTGCATAAGGATATCAAGAGGAGTGTACAGAGTCATGAAATTGCTAAATCTTTGTGGGATGAATTGAAGGATCATTTTGGACAAGGTAATGCTATTAAGTTGACCAATTTGGAAGATGAATTCACGCTTGTAAGCAGGGAACTATGACTATTACACAGTATTATACCACAATGAGTTCACCACCATGCACGTGGCAGATTCGATGGAGCTGTTCATTGAATATTTTAAGGTGGTGGAGGGGCACAAGGAAGAAGAAAAATTCTGATTCTTATTTCATGGATTTCGAAAAAGAAGAGGAAGAATTGTTCGGCTATAAAGAATGTGACATGTGCCTCGTAGTCAGGGAGGAGTCGAGAGGCGGGACAGTTGCCATTAGAGAATTCATTCGTGAGCTTGAGCATGATTGGAAGAAAATGAAGCGCAAGAGGTGAAAGAGACGATGTACGGATGGCACAAGAAGGCAAGGTAGTGGGTCGAGTTGGTCAACCTTGAGGGCAAGGTTGGTCTCAAGGGGGAGGAGATAATAGAAACTTAATTTATGGGTTATATCATAATTATCATTAATAGTATTTATTTGGATATTATTAGATATTGTTAGTAGTCATTAGTCGAATCAGGATAGTCTATTAGGTTTTCCCATCTTTCGTTATTTATATGTACTTTGCGTTTTATTCAGAATCAATCAAGAACAATTATTCAGAAAAGTATCTCAAACCCTAATCTCTCTACTCTCCCTAAATTTCGTCACCTATCCCTAGGCCATCGACTATTCTTCTCCTCGGTCCTAAATTTCCTCTTCTCAAATCCATAAGTTTGTTCTTCCCCAATTCTATCACAATCCCTAAATATCTATCAATTCCCAATCTTATCAACCTGATCGTTAGAACCCTAGAAATAGGTTTATAACATGTGTATGTCTACTTACCTAATAGTACTAAGGTATTAGTCACTCAAATAGGATTAGTGAAGTTGCCCACAAGAATGCCTCTACACAATGTTCTTTTGATACCTAGTTTCACCTTTAACCTTCTGCAGTTAGTAAATTGACACATGACCTTCCCGTCTCACTAAATTTTCAATATGATTCTTGCCTTATCTAGGACCTAGTAACCTCCAAGATGATTGGATTGACAAGACAAAATAGATGGCTCTATAAGTTAGTTCAAAATCCAGAGAGTTTTCCCAGTTCATCAGTTGCATCAATTTACAATTTTGAACTACATAAGATCAATCTTTGGCATTGGTGCTTAAGGAGTCCATTGGTCAAGTCTAAGGCGGGAGTTGCGAGCTCCTTTGTGCGAATGCATTGCTAAATCATTTAGTGATTGGTAAGCAATCTAAAACTATTAATGGACTTTAGGAAGCCAACTCAAAGGCCATAATTGAAAAATGACATTAGTAATGTTGGAGAGTGTATGAAGTTGATGAAGGACATGTAAATTCCTAGATAAAGGAGTTGGAATATGGGTAAGTGACTCGAGCTGAAGAAATTTCATAAAGGAGTATGATAAGGAGAAGCATTACCAAGAAAGAGGAGGACACTAAGTTACCTTACCCAAAATGCCCCACCCTAAGTGGTAGTAACATAGTAGAATGTTATCAAGAAGATAAGATTAGTACTTAAGGATAAGTCGGGCTGGGTTGGTGAGCTATTCAAACCATGACTAGGAGATAAAGGCCATGTACAAGCATCGACTTTGGTAAAAAAACATGGATCCCATATTCTTCAGTCTACCTATGGAAAATCTCTACTGGATATGTTGACTTTGAGAAACAACGAGGAGCTACTGAACTGAGTTCGATTACCAAAGCTAGTACAAAACATCAATAAAGGAATTGTGAAGTAAGGAAGTAAGGAGGACACCACAAGTTATAATAGAAGTTATAGTAAAAATGTGGTAGTCGATAGGACGAAAAACTCGGGGAGAAAGATAGTTAGGAAGGGTAGACGAAAGAATACAAAAGATAGCATGGAGATATTACGGTGACTGGCAGCGAAGAATAAATGGACCATAGGAACTCCATCGAGAATTTAGAAGCTCATCAGTCCACTTTAAGGTGTAGGTAAGATCATCTCGATCGTCAAGGATGAAAACCTTATGGGTCAAAGTATTTAAGTGAGGAAGAGCATCTTGGAATATAGATGACTACATTGTGTGAAATGCTTAAAGGAACAAGGAAAATGTCGAAGTAAAGTAAGAAAAAGTGGTGTAGAGGAAAAGTTGGATCCTTACATGACCAAAGCGTTGAGGAAATGATATCAGAGTTCAAACCAAACACATTAGAAGGTGGTTTAAGCACATGGTAGCATGTCTAAGCTTTGTGTGACACTAGCTACTATGTCATTGACGAGGAGCTTATGGAATGAATTTAGCCATAATAATGAGCTTTCGAGGCTTTATGATGGTCGTGGACACGTGAGTTGGAAATGTTGTGATATAAGTAACGTAGGCTGAATCGAGGTGAATAAGAAGATACTTATGGGTTGGGAGGTCAGGAACCCTAAAGGTCCAAACCTATAGCCTAGTTGGTCTATCCTAAATGGAAAAAGTATATGAACTATGAGACACGTAATAGAGGGATGAAAGGACATCTTGGATGTGTTATGAAAGGT